GAGAGAAGAGACTGACAGAGGTAAAAATTATTTTTAAAAAATACATTTTTTGTTGTAATTGTAACAAGTATTTACACTAAATAATGTAATATAGTTTTAGAAACTTGTACAGAGTTAACTGAGAGTCTAGGATTATTTATATGTTCTGATGTTTTTGCTACAGATATGTAAAGTTTATTAGTAGCTTATTAATTGGCAGCTCTCAGGAGCAGTTATCAAAAAGCTTCAATATAAAACATTTCAGGAGACAACACTGAAGAAGATGTTCACTAAATTTCTAACACAACTACAGAGCTGCTAAACATGGTTTATGTAAATCTGTGTAGTCGGCCATGGAGGTGTTTTAGGTCGACTTTCATCGCCTAAACCTCCTGTGTGTGTGTGTGTGTGTGTGTGTGTGTGTGTGTGTCTTTTTTGTGCGTTTCTTTATTCTGTGGAGAGAGTCTCTAGTGTTGAATTATGATGTTTGTTCTCATCTGGCCAATGCTGCTCTTCTCTGTGAGAGGTGATAATACCACAGGTACAGTATACAGCTGGTTTTGGGGTTTTGTTTTTAAATAGAAATTAATAAATCACTTACCAATTTTATGACAATTCTAAAATTGAATTCTTCCATCTTACAGGTATCAATAGCTTCAACAAATACTTGTATGTCTTGTAGAGTGAATGCATTAGTTGTTAAAACTACAGTATAATATCCACCTACATGTTTGGCTTTATAGCTTCTTAAAAGAGTCGGTCCTCCAAATTTTCACACTTAAAGCTGCATGGAGTCTTACAGACATGTTAGTTTTTATGTGTTGTGATTTTGAGAGATCAAAACTGCAGCTCAGTGGAGGTGAATAGAATTTAGCGGCAGCACCAGGACTATTAAGAAACAAGATCAGTGGAACTGAAAATTACACACAGAGCAGGAAGAGTGTTTGGATGTGTTTGTGTGATGTGGGTGACCTAATCCTAAAGAGGTTTAATGTTTGACCTTCATCATCCTTTGGTGGAGATCTTATGTCTAATTTGAAGCCACTCATGTCCTCCTGGCTGATTAACTCATCCTTCTATGCTCTTTCTATATTTGCTCTTCCATTAGGTCTGAGTCAGAAGCCCCCAGAATGTCAGCAGGCCACATTGTCCTGCACTGCTCCTGGTCTCTGTTCTGGGTCTGATCCTACCATCACCTGGATGTGGAGAGGAGCAGGAGAGAACACACACCTCACAGGTAACATCACTGCTGTCAAGCCTGGCATGTGACTGATGTCACACGGAGACCCAGCTCAACTTTGACCTTTAATCTTTCAGCTGAACACCACGACACAGACCTCCCCTGTAAGGTCAGCTTCACAGGCAGCGGGACTACAAAGCAGACAGTGACTCTGAATGTGACCTGTGAGTTTAGCACATACTCTACAGCTGTTTGACAAAATATTCAGACACTTCACTTTGTGCTCACTTTACTGTGCAACGCACCAAACTCAGTCTGGAATCTAAGGTTTTGGTCACTTTGAAGTAATTATGTTTTCCCAAATTTTCTGAGAACTGTTGCATTTTTTGTCTTACCGAGATGCTTATGATTCATATATTGCACACGTTGCAGAATTTAGCATTTTGTGCCTAATATCTTGTCTCATAGTTAAAGAATGTAATCCCTCTGCAGATTGGAAATAGATGAGGGCGATGGTTAGAATTTGACCTGCAGCGTTGAAAAAGTTTCTTTCTGTCCCTCATCACATGGACTAAGCTTGGCTCTGACAACGACTGTAAAATATATTCTATGGTATAGATCTATGTGTTTAGAACAGAAATGAGCCAGTAGGACTTCTGTGCTATTTCTACTCTAATCTCTCATCTAGTTATTTATTTTACATTTCAGAACTGTTTGAAAATATGGGCTTCTAGTACATGATAATCTCATATCTTGAATGAAATTGTTTTCAAACAATTAAGGAAATTGGAAGGCACAGGAAGAGGACAACTGTTTCTGTAGGTGACTTGCAATAATTTGTCCAAATTTTTGTCTCCAAAGATGTGAAGAAACCTGGAAACACTGGAAACATAACTGTTCAGGAGGGTGATGCTCTAAATCTGACCTGCATTGTTAAAAGTGTTCCTCCGTTTAACATCACGTGGACTAAACCTGGCTCCAATGAGACTCTGCAAAACATAACCTCATTCAACCTGCAGAATGGTCCTAGAGGAGCTACTCTTTTCATCCCTAATGTGACAGCAAAACATTCTGGACAGTACATCTGTACAGCAAAACACCTGAACATAACTCAGACTATACATGCTAACATAACTGTGAGATGTAAGTAGACTGTACTGATCTCCTCTGAAGGAAAAATGCTCTTATCAGCTGACTGTGTGTTTGCTGTGATTCTGCTTGTGTTTGCAGTTCCTCCAAAGATCCTAAATGGTTCTGAATGTGTGAGGCAGTCGGAGGTCCTGACCTGTGTGTGCGTCAGTGAGGGGGTTCCCTTACCCACCATCAAATACCACACTGAATACTCCGTCCTTACAACTGTTACAAACCACACAGTCAACAGTCGAGTCAGTTTTTCTGTGACAGCTCATAGCAACACCACTGTAACGTGTGTCAGCAACAGTGAAACAGGGGAAGCAAACGGGAACTCAGATAGTAGGTGTTCATTTGCTCTATTAACATGTTCAGTGTCAATCAAACAGTATCTTAAAAAATATTTTTGTGCTTTTTGTTATCACTGAGAACAACAACAACCAGCTGTGACCACAGTTACCTTTCCCCTCTTTATTCCAGCTCTTCTCACAAAAGTGTTAAAGATTGTGCAAGAACCAAAAGTCATCATTGCATTTTTCACTGGGATGCTTCTTTCAGCCATCGTCTGCTGTTTGGCAACATGCCACAGGTATACATTTAAGTTTTTTATCCCAGAAAGTTCCGGGCTCGGGCCCCACCCGGGGCCTTTCTGTGTGTAGTTTGCATGTTCTCCCCGTACTTGCGTGGGTTCTCTCCGGGTGCTCCGGCTTCCTCCCACAGTCCAAAGACATGCAGCTTAGGTTGATTGGTGTCTCTAAATTGCCCATAGGAGTGTATGTGTCCGTGTGTATGGTTGTTTGTCCAGATTGTATCCCGCCTTTCGCCTGATTGCCGGCCGGGATTGGCTCCCCCCAACCCCATGACCCCTTTCAGGGACTAAGCGGTAGAAAATGAATGAATGAATGAATGAATCTCTATGCATTTTTTTCTTTTCTTCCTTTTTCATTAAACCGTTTTACATTAATTTCAGACTTTTATTTCTGGATTATGATCAGTGATAGAGGATCTTATCAGTGTTTTAGCAGAATTTTAGCAATTTTACTACCAAGTACTCTACATAGATACTGACCATTCTCCAAAGTATACCACATATAGTAAGAACACATTTAAAATATTACACTATATCTAAGCACTCATCCACTTACTTATGTATAAATGTAACAGTTTGTAGAGATTAGACACTTTTCTTTTTTATAATTATTGTTGTGTCCATTAAACAATGCAGATTTTACAAATCACTTGTAAATGCATTGTGATACAAATCTCTCTTGAAGTTACTATAAATTAGCTGTGATTAGGTGATGGGTGAGGGCTGTGATACACTCTGTATGGATCACCTATCTACTGCACGGCCGACACACATAGTCATACATGTAACACACTGATACATAAGGATCATTTTGAATTTCTAGTTCATCAAATCAGTATGACTTTAACTAGGAGGGGAAACTGGAGCGATCACAGAAAACTGAGAGAATATGGAAAACGCAGGCAAAAGGGCCAGGACGTTGTTGCTGTGAACTGCTGAGCCTCCTGTGCTACCTAAATGACCTGCTTTAAATAATAAATAACAAGCAGTCACCTTGTAAGAAAGAAGAACATTCAAAAATCATCACAAAATAGTTGTAATAACCAGGTAACATAAGGTTATGATATATATTTAAGAGTCTTTAATTCTTCAAAACCTTTGTAATTGTTTCATTTGTTAATTTGTCACTACCTTAATTACATTTTTTTTTTTTTGCAGATGTAGAAGACATAACGTCTCTGAAAATCTGGCTGAGACCTTGGAGATGGTGTCCACTCAAGTTCCTCTGGTATTTATATTATTACTCTTTATATTAATACAACTGGATGTGATAATGTAATTAAATGTTAATTTCATCTTTGTTAAAATGCTAGTTTTGTGTTGACACATGCACTGAAAGTCATTTTTCTTATATTTCACTACAGAAAATGAGCTTTCAGAGGCTTAAATGTGTCAGAGATTTAATCCATCACAGTAAAGATCATGTCTGCTTTTACTGTCAGTTGCCTTATTATTACATTGCACTGAAGCTGTATAGTCATTAATGGATGATCTGTGAAGACAGCATTGCAGTATCATGCAACAATAATCAAAATAGGACTAAAATGAAAGCAACATGATCATTTGATTGCCCATTATCTTTAGCATGTTTCATGTCTTTACAAGCAAAAACCCAGGAAACTGAGCAGAGACGATGCAGCCCGGTAGATCAGAGAACTGATTTAAAATTTAATAAATTAATGAAATTTGGAATAAGTGGGAAAAGTTTTGATTTTGTTTTTGTGTTTGGTGAGGGCTGAAAATATTTAATACTACCGAGGGAGAAATTTCATGCGTTTGTGTGATGGCTTTTATCAGCTGGGAAGTGGCTTATCATTCCTGCGTTGTACCCGACAGATCAATGGTGGTGAGGCAGCGGAAGGCGATTGGACCTATGACCAAGAGGCAGCTGCAGGAGGAGCTGAGGCTGCTGGGCAGTCAGCACCTGATGGAGATGTGGAACCAAAAGAAGTGGAGTACTCTAACCTTGACTTCTCTGTGTTGAAAAGAAAGGGTTCCACTGAGGTCATTGACACTCAAGAAGCCACAGAATCAGAGTATGCTGAAATTAAAAAAGAAGCAACAGAGGAGAGGCAAGATGACGGTGGAGAGGATGGTGAAATTCTGAACGGCAACAAGGAGGCAATGGTAGTGGAGGATAAGGAGAGAGAGCAGTGTATGCCAGCAGAGGAGCACGGAGGTGAGGATGCAGCGCTGTATTCTAATGTGAATGAAGTAATGGATCAGTACTGAGAACTGTGGAGCTTGGTGGAGTCACTCAAGGATCTTCAGATGTGATATCATCATCATCATCATCATCATCATCATCATCATCATCATCATCCTTTATTAGCAGACTCAAGGTCCATTAAAAAAAAAGAAATAAAAGAAAGGATATAAACGAAGAAAAATGTGGACATTGTGTGTTTATGAGGCTGCTGATGCTGGCAGAAAAGAAAGTATGTATGTAATGATACATTAAGACGGACAAACGTTAGGCAGATGTGCATTTAAAAGGGTCTGAGCAGAAAGGATATACAGTAGGACTGGATGGCAGTAAAACAAAAATATTTTTACGTGTGTCACAGAAATCTTTGTATACAAGCAAGCTTTGTCTATCACAGGATTCATTTCTGCTGTATTATGAAGAATTAACAGCTTTATGTTCAGTAGCAGTTTAGATTTATTATGAAAGAAATAAACGCAGCTAAAACTACCTTTAAATAAACAGTTAATGCATTATTATTAATATTATTATAGTGCTGAATATTTGTATTCAAATGTAAATAGGTTCTTTTTGTCTAAGATTCAATTGACCTGTCCCAAACAAATCTCTTTCGTCTCAGTAGAAACAGGGCAACAACCCCCTCAGCTTTTTTGTTTTTTAATCTGTCCACAAGTCGAGTGTCCTTGACCAAAACCCTAAAACCTAAATGGCTCCCGATGGGTGAATGATGTGTGAACGTGAGGTAAATTGTAAAGCGCTTTGGCGTGTTCCTTTCTCCATGCATGTCAGAAGTAGATGAGGTTGCATCTGAAAACTCTTCTCTGATTAAAAGCTCTGAATGGGTTCAGTCCATTAATGCAAAAATGTCCAACTTGGGAGCCTCTCACTAATGGTATATCTGTGCAGCTAGTGCTCTGCTGGCTCCCTAGTGTCCCCATGATGGTGTACGCTATTTCTTAGCTTGACACAAACACGAGCCCTGACCTTATGCACTGAAGAAGTGACCCTAGTACTTATTCCTCATTTTCAGTCTGGTTCTGTACACACAGGGTTTGGTGTAGAAACTTAAATGTTTCATTAATTGACTGATGATGGTTATTCTTGTTTTGTAGTACAAAGTGAGAACAGGAAGTTTTCAGAGACGCTGAAAATAATGTTGCCATAAAAGGAAATTAGCCTGGAGCGACTTCGCTGAAAACAGTGCCTACATATTTTGCACAGTATACAAATACAGAAGTGCTTTGAGTGTGGTGATAAAATGAAGAAACAGGACGAATGCAGATACTTGGTATTTGAATCATATTTAATGCATTTATTGGTAAATCGACATATGGTTTTTGACTCAACCTGCATTGCAGACACTGTATTAGTCAGCTTCAGATATCACTCACTTCACTGTCAGTCACATTACTAAGCACGGTATTATGCATTGTTCTATGCACGAGAAATGAAAAGAAGCTATCACACTTCAAAATGGTTTAAAGCAAATGAACATATGCACAAAGAAAAGATACTGACTTTGTGGTTTGTTTGTTTCTCACCATGTTTTATTTTAAGTTTTAAGGAACTGCTATAAGCTTCCCTTTTATAATGTGTCAGTTTGTGGTCATGAGTGTGATGCAAAGTTTTTCTTGTCAGTTGTGAAGGTGCAAATTCCTCCAAATACATACTGTGCATAATGTGCTACTTTTAGATCTTAACTGTAAGAAACTGTGAAAGTCTGATGAGAAGAGCAACAATACTCTGCATTCAGAAATGTTCACAGAAGAAGGAAGAGGTTGGTTAAGAGCAGAGTCATCATGGAGGGAAGACCGCAGGGAAACAGCAGGTAAAACACATTTACCTTATTTTTTAAATGCCTTTCTAATGTATTGTGAAGTGAATTATTAAGCCCCAACTAATTTAAGGCAATGCTTTGTCAAATTCGTGCCTTTGCTTTTGTAGTAGGGCATATTATAAAAGCAAAGTCTTGAACTAAAGATGTACAGGGCCCAAAGACAAGGCAGAGACTTCATATTTGTTGTTCAGAGGCGCTTACTTGTCAGTGGGCTGAAATGGAGCACCAGGGGAAAGTAGCAGTCAAATTTAGTCACATGTTTTAACATCTGTGCTGTCTGCTGTGGAGCTGTTTGTGGTCCAGGTTGATCAACCAAACTTCCTGTATGTTTACTGATCATTCTGTCCCATGTTGGTGCTTTTGAAGGAAAAGTGTCTCTGTTATCGAATCAAGATGTTTGTTCTCATCTGGGTGACAATGCTCTTTCCTGTGAGAAGCAACAGTGCTAACACAGGTATGGTGTGCTGCTTTACTGCAATCTGAGACCAAACCGAATGCCAGTATTTACTTTTTATAGCTGCTTAAGGCATTCCTAATATCAATTTTGCACTGATTATGTTGTAAATGTTTCTCTGATACAGTTTCAGGTATTCAGTTTTTTTGTCCCTTAAAAGGTTAACTTGGCATTTAGCTGTTTTGCCTAAATAAATACTGTTGAATTAATAATTTATGGATTTAAGAATAAATTGTAAAAACCTAAAATGTCTTTTTTTTCCATGCTTAAATTTAGCACCAATAGATCTAATCAGAGGAAACCTGACACCATGACTGTCTTGTGCATCAGAAAATGGATATATTAGTTACACAGCGTTAAATAGCTTTGTTTGCTCTTTCAGTGGGTTTTTAGTGACATTACAATCTGTCAGTAAAGAGAGTCCATCAGTAATGACACATCATGATGTACAGTATATATTTTGATAATACAACTTCTGTTCCTCATTGTCTTTTTTCTGTTTGTTTGTTCCTTTGTTTGAATTAATAGTTGCATGACCCAGGTGAACTAGAGGGCGGTCAGAATGGATTCTGTGTCATCCCTAGTGAAGCTGACACAACAGCAGAGACAGGACTCTGTGTTGTGTTAAAGTTGCAGTAAAAGTTAAGTACATTCACTGAATATGTTATTGTTGTGACTTTAACTGACACAACATAAAATGATGATGGTGACCTGTGTAGGTGAACAGTAGGAACTGCAGCAACTCATTTTACTGAACTTCCATTTATGTCTTCCACTTATTGCCCCTTTCAAATATTAAACAGTGTACACATGACTATATTAGTGCTACTTGACATAAACAATAATCTTCACATGATAACACTAACAGATTACATTCCTTGCCCTGGATTTGCTCCTACAGTCTCACATTTGACTTTGACCTTTAACCTTTCAGTCAGTCACCATGGTATAGAGCTCATAAGATCAGCTTCACAGACAGCATGACTGCAGAGGAGAGGGAGATTCTGTGACCTGTGAGTAAAACATCCTGTGCTTCTTCTCTCTTACACTGATTATTGGACTCTCATTACTGGTGATCAGTTTTTCCTACATTTTGTGAGTTGTTTTTTTTTTTACACTTCCTGTTGTACTCTGAGTGGAGGCCCAAAGCCATAACAAGTTAAGCACTGTCACTGCTTGCATTGGCCAACCATCACAAATGTGTTGTAAAATAGTGCCTTTGACTTTAATGTCAGTTTGTCTCACTTTGGTCACATACAGGGATAATATTAATAACAATGTCTGGTAAAATCTGTGCTTTTTATGAAATTATCCTCTTACTGTAAATTGGTTTAGGCACCTAATGATGATGTCATTTGCTGGTGTTGTTGCAAGGACTCATATTATTTCTGTTTTGTACCTGACAGATAGATGATGGTCAGGCAGAAGAAGATTTGATTTCTGTGTGGTCAAAAGAAGGAATTCACAAGGGACCACAAAGACAGAGTATGCTGAAATGAAAAACGAAGAGGTGAGACAAGACAGGGGGCAAACAGGAGATGGAGATGATGGCGGAGGATGAGGAGACAAAATGTATCACACAGGAGAGGAAAGGGGAGAACGTGGTACTGTATTTCAATGTGAAGGATATGAGTCAGATATAAGGATTAAGTGATTGATTATTAGGTTTCCTGTCTAATATGTTCTGATGGGAAGGCTTTCTACCATGGCACTGTGATTCTCAAACATCAAACTGCGCATCAAGTAAGCCACGAACCAACTGTCGTTATGTAGACCAAACCTTTTGGTAAATCTGCTCTGTAGCAGCAGTGGCCACTGTACAGTAGTTTATAAGTTAGTATGGAAAATATTAACTTTATTAGTCTATTGTACAGAAATGTTTGAGACCAGTAAGTGTATTTTAATATCATCAGAAGGAAAAACAAGCTTATACTGTATTACATGTATAATAAGTCACATGTAATCCACATAGTTGTAACTTCTCATGACCTCTGTGAGCACTGAAAATATGGAAAGAAGTAAAAAAAAAATACTGAGAGAATTAGTTCAAGGGCAAATGTGTGTGTTAATGACCTGCTTATGATTATTTTAAAACTGCATTCTGGTAACAGCTTGCACTGGTTGTTGTATGTAGTAATTTAAGTGTATTATTTTACTTTGTATTTAGGAAATAGCTGGGAAGGCAGAGTTGAAATCCATAATAAATTAACTGAGATGTATTAGGATGTTTCACTGCCATGAAGACAGTGTTGTTTTGTTTGCATGAGGTTGCACTGTTCACATGTTTAGGCAATGTTAAAACAGCAGTACAGGAATTTGGAAATGTCACTTAAATGCTTTGCTAAACTTCTTCTTAAGTACTATATGGAACTAAAGCAAGAAGTTAGTTTACTGCAAGGCAACTTTATTTATATAGCGCATTTCATACACAGAGGCAATTCAAAGTGCTTTCCAGAGGCAAGAAGAACAGTAACAGTATAAAACAATAAGCATTAAAACCAGAACAAAATCAGTTAGAATAAGAATGGAAAGACAAAATAAAAGGTCTGAAACAGAAATCTAGCAGTTAGTGCAGAAGGTGCATCTTAAAAACCAGCATAAGAAAACAGTTTTCAGTTGAGACTTGAGAGTGAGAAGAGCTGGGGGACATTTAAGGTCAATAACAGAAGCAGCACGAATCAGCTTGCCACAAAGTAAACTAAAGCTTACTTTAATAAAGCATATGTTGTGAAAGAACCAGAGGAGTCAAAGCAGTTGTAGCCGAGTATCAAAAAATAAAAGCATTTTAAAAAATTGTTGCAGAAATTGTGCACAAATTTTGAATCACTTTCTTTGAGGTCGGCTCACATGTACCGGATTTCAGCATAGAAAAAAACATTCACAACACCACGTTCCGCTTCAAACGGAGACGAGTGCGAGAGGATGTGAGCTTAAAATAGCATCAGAAACCCCAAGCAGGTGTCACCTGTTTTACATACTGGGTTCCTCTTGAAAATGAGAACAAGCAGGTTGTTTCATGAGGTTACCACTTACAGTACAACTCCCTCAGCTTTACTAATATTACTTTCTTCGGCTTCATTGGTAACACCTGTATGAAAGCCTTGCTGGGAAATTTAAATTCATCACAGCAGCTTTCATTTTGAAACAAAAGAAAATGAAACTGTCATATTGCTTAATGCATTTGTGTGTCAACATTGAAAGAGAAAGGTACAATACTGACATTGATGTTTCACTGCTTTAGGTTATACTGACAGGTGTTTTTATTGTTGTCACATACGCACAAGTATGTGCTTAAGCTGATTTTGGAATAAGGAGTTTACAGGATTAGTATGTTCCACTAACTGGACAAACTGATAAATCACTCTGATGCTGTCGGTGCTTCAAAGCTGCAAAAGAATCATCATCTGACAGCAGGACATAAATATTTCAACCTGAAGGCTACGTCTACTCCAGATCTGTAGGTGAGTGTGTGCATTACTGTGTTGAATGGATTCAGTCATAGAGATAGCTGACAGCCAGGTATATTTAAAGCTGCATTAAATAACCTCTCCCTCTAATTTCCGGTTGTTAAAGTGAAGTGAGAGTCAAAGCAAACTCAGACAGTATCCCCTCCTCTTCGGTCTCCGCTCCTCCTTGCCCATCCTGCCCTGTCTGTGAAGCTATGTGGTCACGACAGCCAGAGACAGTTGTAATAACCAGCTCCAGAAGTACAAATACCTAAGATATTACCGAAGTAAAATTTTTATTTTGATTTCAGTTTTTGAGTACAATAAATGTAGTTACTTCCCACCACTGTACACTGTACAGCACTACTGGTTAGCCACAAATATTATTTATCTGAGAAGGTGTCAGGTTTGCCCGGCTGCACCTGCCATTCTCACTCCCCTCATTCTGTTTTAGCTCCCTTACCCTGATTACTCTTTCTGGCACACCTGCTTCACTTCCCCAGATCATCACCAGCTGCACCTGATTAGTTTGCTCCCTATTTATACCCTGCTCACCGTCCACTCCCTTGCCAGTTCTTTCTAGATTTTCAGGCCCTTCCTTATTCATTGTTTTTGTCTAGTTGCATTATCCAAGTACTTAGTCTTTTTGTTCTTAGCTCCTGTCCAGCCCTGTTTTTCCCTTCGTCTCGTTAGCCTTGTTTTCCGTCCTTGCTACACCTCCTCCTCCACGGACCTGTCTTCCGGATCTTGGACCTACTCTACCCTGCCAGTAATGATGGCCATATGAGGCCCCATGAAGCTTTGAACCCTTTTGAACCATTGTATCGAAAATTGGTTCACTACTCGAAGCTTCATTCGTTGAGCACGTGGGTGACACCTGCTGGCGCGGTGGTTGTTATACAGCCTTGGAAAGGTGACACTGATGCACCTTGTGTGTGCACTGAGTGTTGTTGTTATGTGGACATTACTTAAATAAAGCTGATATCTAACTTCATTTTATATGCGTCTGTTTTTCTTCCTTGCCTTATAAAGTATCTGAAATGAAATGTTGACTACCTAAGTAATCCTCCTTCCCCAAGAACTCTTAAGAATATGAAATGGATTTATAATTATTCATCCCAAATTACACACTGGACAGAGCAAATATTTACAGGGTTCAATGAGGCTGTGGATGTAATTAATGTTCTGATAATATAATATGTGTTCTGATTGTGCTTGGTGTACACTGGGTGTGCTTGTGTGACTCAGGCATTTTTATTCAAAAACAATAGTGTCTCCACAGTGTTCCTGTGGTGGACTCAAGTGTAGCAGTGTGGATCCTGACTAAAGCTGTATCTCTGTACCTAAATGATGGCTTGGTTGAGCGACTGGCCCAGCAGTCTACATTAAAGGATTGTGGACTTGTGTATTGTCAGTGGAGGTCGCCACAGGGGAAGTTAAAAAGCGGCTTGTGGCTGCAGAAAAGGACTTGGCCACAGTTTCGTCACAGCTGGTGGAGATGGCAATGCCGAGACGTGTTCCCAGCCAATCCTTCACTGCCATGCTGCAAGCTTTAAGTGGTGCCACTGATGAAATGGCAGCTGATGCTGAGAAGACAGTAGTTACTGCTCTTGGGGAGGGGAGGTGAAGTCAAACTGATATTTCTTTGTACTGTATGATGTTTCCTGTTTGTGTGGTTCACATTCACTTTTATGCTTTGGGAAACAAAAGATTCACAATTTATACAATAAGTCATAAATCTTTTAGTACTTGATCTTTTTTCACTCTTTGATGAACAAGAAGTAGTAAATGGCACTGTAAATACTGTAAGTATAATTTCTAAAAGTACATGTCAGACTTCTCTGTGCCTGTTTTCTAAGTCGTCACCCACGTACCCTGAAGTGGCTTTCACTGTTGGCAAAGAGCATTAAATAGAGGAAGTGAGAGGATGTTGAACTGCATATCTGCTGTAGTGTGAAAGCTGAAGAAAGAAAACTAAATCATTTTCATCAATTCACCTATAAAAGATTGTGTTCTCTGGCTTGCATGATCGAGCATGCAAATTCTTTAAGATTTTAAGTCAACTGTGAAAACTTCCTTTTTCTTTACAACCTTATTCTTTACAAGGGGTGGTGTGAGCTACAGGCTGCTGAAACTGCGTCTGCTGAGGTAAGAACAAGCTTATTTTTGTATCTTTTGATCTAAAGTGTTCTATTTGACTAACGTAATATGAAAAATCATCTCAGTTGGTAAAAGTTCATCTCAGTCATCAAGGGGGTACAATGTCTGTGTGTAGAGAAGGTTTTGATTTCTGCTTCTTTCGAATTAAAAAGATGCCATTTTATTGGATATAGCAATGTCTTTACATTATTAGTAATCTGGATGTTTCCCCTGGAAAAGTCATTTGTTGTGTTCACAAAAATAAAGCAGCATTTGTAAGTGATGTATACTCTATATAAAACCACTGAAACAATCTTTTTTGACAATACTATTTTAAATCTGGTGGTATGGGGTAAATGACCAAATATGTTAAATAAATGCATCCTACTGATTGCTCTCTAAACACCCTGTGTGTGGTGTATTTTATTGAAATTTTTTTTTAGTGCACCACGCAACAGCCTGGCTAGAGCACCAACAAACCCGGGGCTGGCCCCGAGAGCAGTCAACTTGAAATAAGGAAGAAAATGCAAATACTATGTCACGAAGGTTTGGGGGGAGAACTTGAGACTAGCTAGTTTAGCAAGGTACCAAGGCTAGTTTGGTGTCACAGAATGTTCAGTGGTGTTGTATAAAGTTTTGTATACTTTTTTCTTTTTTTTTTTGTTTGTTTCAGATATCAAGATTTACACGAGAATGAATGCTCAGACAGTCGGGTGGCTGGTATTTCTGACTCTAATACAAAGTAGGAATTACTACAGTGTTTCAATAATGTTTGCTTTTAATATACTCTGGATTAAATCAAATATAGTATTGATTTATAGTACTGATATACTACTGACTTTTCCACTTGTGTTTTCATCACTACAGATTTTTCTTTTGGCGAAATATCCCCCTTCAATATAGAACAACACAAACTGAATGCTACAGAGGCTACAGAGGGGTCCTGCATTGAAATCAAGTGCACAGTCACACGATCTCTTACTGATGTTGGCGCCTCCTGGTTTTGGCTGAAGGATGCAAAATATATAGATGCTGATAAAGATTATACTGGCACTGTCATTTACAGTACGGATCAATCTCAACGTCCTGTCAGTCCAGACTTTAAAGACAGAGTGAAATACATCGGCTATTCACTTCTGAAGTGGAAAAATGATCTGTGCAGTATTTTGATCTGCAACCTGAAAAAAAGTGACAGTGGTCCGTACTCTTTCAGATATGTGGGACAGGGTGATAGAAAATGGATAACGCAAAAAAACGTGACCCTCACTGTTACAGGTATGTGTAAAAATGAAAATATTGAAATATATTTTATGAAAATAAATTTTCAAATGTTGAGAGCTGGTCTGGAAACAGAAATAACTATGAGCTTAGTTAAGTATCAATGGTGTGATAAATATAAGAAAATAAAATGAATGTCTTTTATATGTTTAGTACTCAACAGAAAAACATAGCTAATAACATTTCAACATGATTATTACTGTACAATAACCCAAAATGGATAGATAAGTATATTGTGAGATTTCATAATAAAGTCAACACAATAGGAGAGAATTAAAAAAATCTTCATTTTCATCTTGAACTTAACTTGATCAGTCAGTAACATAAAACACAAGCTCCACTCAGCACAGTTTACCAGCCAAGGATCAATTTATCTATTATAAAACCTATTCATAGTCCTACTGTATTATTATGATTTACTTGTATTATTCTGTATAGTCATTCCATTTCTGCTGATGTTGTCTTTCTTTCTTATTTTCAGAAAATCCATGCCTGATCACTTTTAACAAACCATCTGTCATTAAGGAATCTGACAACGTAGAACTCACATGCTCCACTTTAAGTTCATGTCCTTCAAACCCACAAATAGAAGATTTGACACAGCTTACCTCGACACGTGTCTCAGACACTCAACAACATAATGAAACACCAAAAAGCACCAGAGTCAGTTTTCAAGCACGTTGGCAGGACGATGGGAAGATGTTTTCATGTCAAACACAAGATAACAAGGATAAATATTTGATTCGGAATATTAGTATAACTGTCGAATGTAAGTTCATGGATGGAGAGTTTATTCACATCTATGTACTGTAACAGTTACTGCTAATGAATCTGTGATGTAAATGTGATCTGAGGGTAACTAATAACTTCTCGAACTTATTATGATAATTGTGCTCATTATTAATTTAATATCAGGATTACAGTACTGAGAAGAATCACTGTCCTTTTCCTTTTACTAGTACTGTAAGTATAAGGACAGTACATCGAGTATATTTTGGGCAGCTGTTATTTAATTTTAGAAATCAGCACAGTGACCATGTAATGCTGCAACATGAAAGGCCAAAGTGATGCAACACACCTGAATTACACCAGTTGTCCTGCCCAGTTCCCAAGCTCCCTAACACTACATCTGTATGTCAGAAATATCTGAGCTTTAATGCCACATAATATTTCATTTGTGTAAAACATAATATTTGTGAAACCAGTTCTCTGCCTGTTTAATCCAGCTGCCAAATGTATAAATGACAGTTTAGTGGGACTAAAGTCCAAAACACTATGGCTCCATTCTTTCTGCTGTGTGTAGACTGATCTCTCTTCACTGGTATTGAATTTGTTGTCACAGATGCTCCTAAAGAAATAGAGGCCAAGATAAGTTCTGACAGTGTCAAGGAAGGAGAATCTGTGACTCTCACTTGCTCTGCCAAAGGACGTCCCGTCCCCACATTTACCTGGTTTAACAATGGACACAAGCAGTTCTCAGAGGCAAAGTGGTTGATCACATCGGTTAATGAGTTACAAACTGGAAACTACAGCTGTGAAGCTCGAAACCAACATGGATATATTACATCAAACCCAGTCGTTATTGATGTTAAATGTGAGTACTTCATGTGTTTTTACTTGAATTAAACTTTTTGTTTGTGATTGTAATATTATCTCAACCATACTTTGTTTTTAACATTTTGTATTTGCTAAAAAATTCTGGAAGACAATCCTGAAATTTGATTTTTCATTTTCACCACTGTTTTGGTAGCAGATTGTCTTTGTGATTCAAACTAAAGAAATGCTGTTTCAGATCCCCCTCATGTTGAGATAATGAAGACTCCACCTGACTCTACAGTAGAACAAGGAGATAAAATGACTTTAACGTGTAGTGTAACGAGAAGCAACCCAAGATCTGTCACCTACACTTGGTTGAAGGATGGGAAACAAATTTGTCACCAAAGTATTTGTACCCAGAGGATATATACTGTAGATAGGATCGAGCCTGAGGACCGTGGCTCCTACACATGTAAAGCTTCTAACGCCGTGGGTTTTAGAACATCAGAGCCACTTACAGTCGATGTTCAATGTAAGTTTCACACCTCCTTTTACTGCATGTGTCAGAGAGTTGATCATGGCAGAGAAAGTGAAATAAATCCACATACTAAAAGTTATTTCTCTTTTCCAGACGGCCCAAGAAATACAGCAATTGCCAACAAGGAATCTCTTAAGGTGAAAGTTGGTCAATCCCTCACATTAACCTGCAACACTGATGCCAATCCTGCCCCACAGTCGTACTCCTGGGGCAGTGAAAATAAAAATAAACAGCAGACTTTCACAACAACTAAGGAAAATTTCCTACAATTGAACAATGTGCAAAGAGCAGATGAAGCATGTTACACGTGCAACGCCAGCAACGCCATCAGTCGAGGACATGATAGTGAACGAGCGTGCATACATGTGCTGTGTAAGTAACAGTTGTGCTGAAAATGTTCTGTGATCCTAAAGTTTCTATAAGTTATTTATTATTAGTTAGTTATATAGTTGAAGTTGTTATTATTATTATTATAAGCTTCTACGCCACAGTGTAACTGCATTTTGTGTTGTACATCACGTTGAATCCTCAACTCAAAGTCACTAATAGTTTTTCCATGTCAATTCAAAAGAATACAACATTTACATATAACAACATTTTTGGAAAGTACATTTATTCTCTCTCTGGTGCTGAGTGAGAAGTTTCACTCAACTCTCACATCACTATGATGAATAAGAAGCATAGCCTACCATAACATTGGAAACAGAGAGGACACTGTTAGCTTGGGTCTGTGCAACCTTAACTTGTTCCACCTACCAGCACCTGTGAACTAATTAACACGCTGTATCTTATTTAATCCCCACAAAAACAAAAATGTAAGAAATTATTTACAGTGAGCAGTTGCCAGAAAACAAGTAAAGTGTTGCACATAACCTCATGTACAGTGACAAATGGTTGTGTCACACTTCTAGCAAACAGATTAAACAAACACATACAATATATAACATGATCAGTGGGCTTTAGAACTGCTGGTTGGCAGACATCGTTACTTTTGGGTCGAGACGGGCTACCTGTTTAATTGTGCTGAGCTAAGCTAACCTGCTGCCAAAAACCACACGTTTCCTATAATGTCAGACTTTTTACAGAAAGTGTTTAAGCTTTCAGGACAGAGTCCCACTTCCTGTTTATGGACTGCTGCTGTAATATCATGTAACATGTTTAAAAAATTAAGGAATCAATTGATCATTAATGAAAATCAAGCACATATCTGCTTCCTCTCTATAGATCCTCCCACTGAACCCAGGCTGTCTATGGATGCTGAGGTCACCGAAGGTCAACGCGTCATTATCAGCTGCACTGTTGAAAGCTTCCCAACATCAGATCTCAGCTTGACGTGGAGTACTGGATCAAATCCTCGTCCTGTCACCCTGCTCAGTCGTTGGCAAAGCGACAACACTCTCCAACACATATTTAATGTAAATTCATCTGACGCTGGCTTTTACAAATGCAGTGCCACGAACAGTGAAGGTTCAAACAGCAAACAAAGGGAGTTGGTGGTGAAATGTGAGTAATTCAGTGGTGCATTGTCTTTGTGCTAATCAAACAGATCATATCAAAACCTAAACTTTGTATCATGTTATTGCCATTTTTTTCAGTAATAAAACTTTTTCCTGTTCCACGTATGTTCTTGATGTCTAGTGTTTCCTTAGTTTTACCTGGATCTCTCCTCTGGACCTTGGCACCCTCAGCTCCACCTACCACCTTCGCAGGTCGATGCACAGTCCCATCATTCATTGAACTCCTTGTTTCCTCTCCAGTTAACCGGACCCCCACCTTGACCAGCCCAGGAGTGACTCCTACCCTCGCAGCCAACCTTCATCACCCCCACGGACAATCACCCCTCTACCTCTGTTGGTCAGGCACCCGGTGATATTCACTCCTTCCATGTTTTTGTATATATGATTGCACCCCTGTTAGCACTGTAATAAATTATCACTTGCATCGAAGTCAGCCGCCTGGGTCCGTTTTTTCACTGCTCGCTCACTGTTGTGTCGAGCTGCCCTAACAAGCGGTAGAAAATGAATGAATGAATGAATAATGCAGACCTTTGGCTTGTCACAGAGTATTGTTGTAGTTTCGTGTTGTTACTTAAGTCTCACTAATTCTTCCACTGCTACATAAAATATAATTTGATTAAACAAACCTGTTGGAAAAAACCTGTTCAGTTTTTGTTGAGACAAACACACCTAGTCAAGTAATGCACCACTGTGACATCAGTGTAACAGTTTAATATAATTGCTGTGATGT